TGGACAGTAAGATCTACATATTAATTTAGAAAGCAAGAACAGCAGTATTAATCAAACAGGAAATTGTTAACCACTGGTCTCTATGGAAGTGAAATGTGTAGTGCTTCAGTCTAATAGATGAGGCAATTTTTGATAGACTTTTGAAAGTGGCGTGGCTTCAGTGAAAACACATTAGATTTGGATGGTTCAGTAGTCTGACAATATGCAGTAAATCTTACATTTTTATAAAAGTAGGAAAATAGGCTTAAGAAATCAAAATCATTTGTAAACTATGCATCACAAGTAAAAATAAACATTTTCCTGAAAAGAAGTTTTGTTGTATAAAGCAATTACAGTTAAAACATTTATTGATGACCATGAAAGAGGGGCTTGCATAATACTTACTAATTACTTAATATGTAAATTAAAATGCAAGGTTTCCATAAAGACTTCCCTGTTGCTTTCTGTGAAAACTGAATTTGTAACATCCTTTTAACTACATTTGTTGTTGTTGTTCAGTCACTAAGTCTTGTCCGACTCTTCATAACCCCATGGATTGTAGCATGCCAGGCCCCCTTTCCCCCCACTGTTTCCTGGAGTCTGCCCAAACTCATGCCTATTGCATTGATGATACTATCTAAAACCATCTTATCCTCTGCCATCCCCTTCTCTGTTTGCCTTCAATCTTTCCCAACATCAGGGACTTTTCCAATGAGTCCTTTCTTCTCATCTGATGGCCAAAGTATTTGATGTTGAAAGAAAAATCTTCATCAGGGTCCAGTCCAAGCTGGGAATAAACAAAATGGAGGTTGCTTTAGAAAGGTTATAGTTTATTGAAGAGCAAAGCCGAACAGTAACATGGCTCTGGGAAAGCTGACCACATGTTGCTGGGAGTGGTGGGTTTTTATACCTTCTTGGGCTTTTGAGGTTGTTTCCTGTTCCTGTTTGAGGCTTTGTATTTCCTGTGTCATGTACTTTGACCTGAGTTTGAATGTGCCTTTTTGATATTGGTGGATTAATCCTATTATGTTGCCTGTCTTTGGGTGGGGGTATATAGATTTTAGGGATCTTTGTCTTCCTAATCTCATCAGTTTCTTCTAGCTTCCTGGCTCCAATTTTCCTGAATGGATTATTACATCTGCATTTCTAAAAGCTGGTTTCTGCTGAGTTTCTGCTTGGGGCTATTAAGAAAAACTGGGCTTGCTTTTCTGCCTTTAAGATCCTTTGGGGAAATATATTCTGCCTTTTTAATATTCCCCAAAATATTTCTTTCTCTGGATTCTTCCCACATTGAGCTTCAGTATCTGCCATGTGTAATGTGTAGAAATTGATGCAAATTCTGCAAACTGTGATACATTTTCTGTATTTCCGGTTCACAAGGGGCTTAGTCTTTTGTGCACTGAAAATATTCAAAATTTTAGGATGCTGTTATAAGAATAGGATGACTGGATCAAACTGTGTGAAATTATTGTACTAGATAGCTTAAATACTATTGTACAAGAATATTGCACCAATTATTTTTTTCCTTCCCTTTGGTTATTTTTATTTTTCTCCAGGGATTGGGGGAATCTGGAGTATTCCTCGCATCCTCCGTATTTTTTGCTATAAGAGACGCAATAAGCGCTGCACGGAAGGAAAGAGGATTAAACTCTGTTTTCACACTGGACAGTCCATTGAATGTAGAGAGGATTCGCATGGCCTGTGCTGATTCCTTTACAGAGATGGTAAGACTTTGCCCTGTCATATTCTTTTGCATCTAACCTTCATTTCTACTTCAACTAGCAAGGCAAAGACTGTAAATGAAAGAGTATAAAGGCAGAGTCTGAAATGCTCAATACTGTTAAGATAAGTAAGGAAAAGTTAAAGCTGAGGGAGAAAAAACAGAATAGTTGTTCCAGATTATTTACTCTGTAAATGATAGTTTATTGTAGCCAGAAAAGGCTCCCACAGGAGGAATGGGCTTGGAGACTGTCAATTATCCCTGTTCTTGCAGCGTTGCCTCTCAAGCTGCTCTTAAGTATCTTCTTTCTCTTCGTCCAGCAACTTTTCAGAAGGTATTAGGAAATGCAGATGGAAGAGGAATCACAGACACACACACACAGAGAAAGAGAGAGAGAGAGAGAGAGAGAGAGAGAGAGACAGACAGACAGACAGACAGACAGACAGACAGAGACAGAGACAGACAGACAGACAGACACAATCCTTTCTCCCAGCTCCTTCCCATCCCCATCAAGCCCTGTGAGCTGGCAAACTCAGAAAAGAACCACTTGGATTACTGGAACAATCTTGATTGCTCATAGGAAAATCTAACAGAAGCTTGAAAGTCTGCCAAAGGAATTCTTCCAGTCCACTGATACCTAGCATAATTAAGCAGAGTTAGTTTGAATCTCTTTTTCACATTCCCCCTCTGCCCTGAACTAAATAATCTTTTCTGACTGGTTCTCCTTCCGCCTCTGCGTTTCCAAAATCAGTTAGACATTTAATACCACTACCTGATGTGATTCAAACTCTGTTATATTATTTTATTGTGATTTACTGTGTAAGCTGCAAAGCTTCTCCCATTTCTGAACCACCAATTTTTTTAATGATGGGGTATGAGTGTGCACATACTGCACTTAAACAATATATGGTATTTAACATCTGGAAATCCAGCAAGATCAGGCTGCTCTTCTCAAGAATGTTTATTTCAGCAGTCAACACCCCGCCCAGCCGCCTTTTAAAGCAACAAGATATTTATGTCAAATAACCATCCCGAAAATCTGAAGGGCACTAACCTTAGCACGCTGCAGTTTTGGAGGGCTGATCAAAAAAATACTATATGAGCTAAGACTGTGCCCCTATGGACACTATTGAAACTATAATACTGCATCTTCTATAAGGACTCACAGATTCAATTTATAACACCTTGCCTAATAAAATATCTGGGAAATACTGATCTTTTTATGTGCAACTATTATTATTGGATCAGTACAAAATAGTTTCTTTGAATGTGGCCAAATTTTGCTATGCTGTATGTAAAATTAGGCAAATTTTAACTGCCCACTAATAATCCACCACCAACCACAATATATTATTTTGCCTGCCTTTTATTTTTGTTTTTTTTACTATTATTATTGTTTTTAATGCTTTTGTTTGTGGTGCTGGTCTGTGACCGTAATAAAGATTGATTGAACGAGCCACCAATTCACTGATATCACTAATCTAAAATGTATTTTGCTACTCTTGCTTTCTATCATTCAGCTGAGTTAGGCACTCTGAATTTTAATATTATGAGTTTGTCCAGGACCAACTCAAATGTTATGAGAGTTTCTGTGAAGTTTAATTTTGGTGTGTTATTATGCAATGCAATAAAAATATCATGCTATTTTATTGCCCATTAAATGTGGAAAGTTCATTTCATAGCAAAATAATCTGGATGCTTGAAGGGTGTTGCATAAATATTGTACACCATGAATTAGTATGTATGCAATTGTAACTTTATAGTTGCCTTCTTAAAACACTGACCTCCAGCTTGAAACAAAACAAAACTTCACTTGTTACTCTGCTCAAGTCAATCAGGTTCAGTGTTCATGAAATGATGGAACAAAGCTAGCAATTCAAGCTTTTACAAAAGGTTCAGGAAATATACGGAGATATATAGAGTAAGTCATTAACCAAAAGCAAATTTCAAATTTCCAAATATTTTGGAAATATTTAAGATTAACGTTGCAAAAAAGTAGCTAAAATAAAGCAAAATAAAATAATTTTGTTACAATAGCGTTTATGGTATTGTTATGCCTAAAAAAAAAACCTCAACAACTCCCAGCCTACTGACAGAATGCACTGTTGTAGAAAACTCCCATGTGGTTCAAATTGCAGCAGTACAGAGTGTTCCATCTTCTGCCCCACTTTTCCTTAATGGCTCTCAAGACTGGAGGAAAATGCTTCGTGGGAGCAGTGGTTCTCAAACTTTTTAATGCCGGGACCCCCAACTGGTCGTAAGTCGAGGACTACTCAACCGGTTGTAAGTCAAGGACTACTCAACTGGTGCAGCACCGTTTGCAGAATGGGACTTTTGGCGGGCTCAGCACGGCAGAGACAGCCTGGACAATTCCTATTGGCTTTTGAAAGCCAATAGAATTAGACTCTATTCAAGAGAGTCTATTCTATTGGCTTTCAAAAGCCAATAGAATAAAAGGGAGTAGCACAGCTAAGGAAAAGGAGAAAAAAATGGCAGACTGCGTTGTTTGGCGACCCCCGTGAAATGGTCGTTCAACCCCAAATGGGGTCCCGACCCACAGGTTGAGAACCACTGGTGTAGAGTATTTTATCGGCTGTAAACATTGCACATAATTGAAGCAGCCCACAGTAGAGACCTGGTATGTTGTGTTGTATCTTATCAAGCAAATATGCAGTCTAGAATGTTCACTATGATAATTATGTTTTAGTTCATACTAAACAATCTCATGGTTAAATAATTGTTCATGTTCCTTTCTTGTTTAGATTCCAAGAGACATGCCTGGGACCTATAAACCTTGGGCTATCCAAGTGGATTAATCTTCTACTTGTTTTTCAGTGAAATTGTTATTTTCTTACCGCATAATGTTGTACATACCTTTTCAGAAATATATCATACGCTTTTCAATGGGACATACTCTCCAAATAAATGTTTATAGAACGGCATCCTTCAATGTCTGTTGAGACAGTAATATTGGAACCATGTTTAGGATACTGTTGGCCAAAGATGTACAGTTTGATCTTTAGAATAATTTTCCAATCATTTATGACCAGATTTGGTGCACCAGACACATACCAGCATGAGAGTAAAGCTGTAAGAGAGAACTTTATCTGAATGAAACCAATAATCTTAACAGCCCCTCTTTCTCTCTCCCTCTCTCTCTCTCCCTCCCTCCCTCCCTCCCTCCCCCCTCCCTCCTCCCCTCTCTCTTTCTGATATAGTCATTTCGTATTGCTTCTGATTGAAGGAAAATACTGTAACTTCTAAATGAGATGTGAAGAAAGATATTTTATGTATCTTTTCATTTTTCTTCCTTTTTATTATTATAAGCCACCTAGAGTAGCTCTAGAGTATTTGCCTTGATAAATGGCAAATAAATGTAATTTCAATTTAACAAAATAAAATTAATTTACCTACAGATGTATATTATAATAAATATTATAAATATTTTAATGCTATAAACTATTGCTTATGAGATTATACCTCATCTCATCAATTGAATGAGTTGCTATGGTTGTAAAAGGCTCTAACTGTTCAGGATAAGGTAACCAACAATAGATTAAAACAGTACAGCTTCTGTGGGAAAAGGAAAGACAAAACTGAGTGTGAGTAAAATATCATCATGGACAATTTTATCATGTGGGCAACTAAGGCAAGCTTATCAAGGGCATCATATATTAGAAATGAAAAGCAGCTATCAACACAATTAATGATACAAGCAAGGCACTGGTGATTTCCAGTGGTATATTGGTCTGTAAGAAATCTGATTATTTTCAACATAAATGTGATACTTTCCAATTGTAAAAAAAAAGCATTTGAAAAATAACTGCATATTCCTTGAAATGTTATATATTAAACATGGTCCTCTTATCTGTCTGCATGGAACCACACATATAGTATGTGGAATTTTAGTGCTCACATTATGCATTCTTTAATGAATAAAGATTGAATAACTCAGCACTTTTGACAGCCTTTTATTAAAAACACTGCCTTAATCTAATGGTTATTCTTATAATTTAGGGTCTTTTAAGAACCAATTCCCAAATTGCAATACTAGGATTGCTATAAAACCTTTATGTTCAATCTCAGCACCATTCCTACTGCACTAGAGAGATGACATTATGAAAAGGATCATTCTGATAGATTGAACAGTGATCTTCATTTCCAGTCTTAAAAGCTTACCATTAATAACTAAGCAATGAGGTTTTGATTCCAAATCACATGAGAAGTTAACATTGTGGAATAATCTAATTTGAAAATTCAGGGAAGATATTTAACTAGAATATGTCTGTACAAGGGGTCAATACTTTGATAAAACGTGATTGCTTTAAAGACTTTGAGACATTGTAGGCTGAATATGACTTATCTACATTTGCTTGGCAATATATATAATTGAAATATCTGCTAACCAAGCAATATGGTCTGAACACAACAGTAACTTTGAGGTGCAGGACCAAAAAGCAATCAGTAAAAAAAAAATTAAGTTCTACAATTTGTCATTTCATAAAGAGTTTTGGCTTTTTTAAGCCAGGTGCATAGCAAAGAGGATAATTTTATGCAAATGGAAATTTATCTCCTGGGGTTAAGAAAAAGATGCAAGATATGAGTTTCTTATTTATCTTTGAAAAGTCTGCTCTAATAATAGGAAGAAGAAGCATATGTTTCTATATGATCTACATTTAATGTTAAATTTAATGATTGCTTTTATATTATCAATAGTAACTGTAAGGGTGTTTTCTTTAAAAAAAAAATCTTCACGATATGACCATTTATCTTTTTTTCTCTCTCTTTATGCTGTAGTTTTTAAAAATGTTCCTTTTAAAAATAAATAAATAAATAAAAGTCCCTGCCAGCACACATGTGAAAATACAGATCAACTATTGTACAGTTTTATTGTAAACCAGCCATACCAACATCACATAAAACAGAGACAATGTTTTTTGGGTGAACTAATGGAAGACAAGTTATATCAGTGTTGAACGAAAAGTCTTCATCAGGGTTCAATCCAAGCAGGAAATGAACAAGTTTTGGTCACCATGATGTAAAAAAGATGTTGAGACTCTAGAAGGAGTACAGAGAAGAGCAACAAAGATGATTAGGGGACTGGAGGTTAAAATATATAAGGAAAGGTTGATGGAATTGGGTATGTCTAGTTTAATGAAGAGAAGGACGAGGGGGGACATGATAACAGTGTTCCAATATCTCAGGGGCTGCCACAAAGAAGAGGGAGTGAAGCTATTCTCCAAAGCGCCTGAAGGCAGGACAAGAAGCAACAGATGGAAACTAATCAAGGAGAGAAGCAACCTAAAACTAAGGAGAAACTTCCTGACAAGTTAGAACAATTAACCGGTGGAACAACCTGCCTCTAGAAGCGGTGAATGCTCCAACACTGGAAGTTTTTAAGAAGAAACTGGACAGCCATTTGTCCGAAATGGTATAGGGTTACTTGCCTGAGCAGGGGGTTGGATTTGATGACCTCCAAGGTCCCTTCCATCATCATCATCATCGTTGTTGTTGTTGTTATTGTTATAACATGGTGACTGCTTTAGAAAGTTGTAGTTTATTGAAGACAGAAAGATGGCTCTGGAAGAAAAGAGAGCCCACATGTAGTAGAGAGTGGGTTTTATACCCTCTGGGCTCTTGAGGTTGTTTCCTGTTCCTGTTTGAGGCTTTGTATTTCCTGTATCATGTACTTTGACCTAAGTCTGAGTGTACCCCTTTGGCATCTGTGGGTTAATCCTATTACAGTATGTCCTGTTTTAGAGTTTGGGTGGGGTACATAGATTTTAAGGGTCTTTATCTTCCTAAGCTTCTAGCTGGAGGCCTCCAACCTTCCTGAATGGATTATCACATCTGCATTTCTACAGAGCTGGTTTCTGCTTTGGGGGAGGGAGACTTGGGGCTATTAAGGATCTTAAAGAGGCATGCTTTTCTGCCTCTTTAAGATCCTTTGAGGACATATAATATTCTGCCCTTTTAATATTTCCTTCTCTGGGGGGCTGACTTTCCATATCAGCAAAAGAAATACGACAGTGAAATACAGTACTTCAGTATTAATGTGAACAGAGTTGGCATCCGAAAAAGAATTTTTGGCTATTTACCTGGAAAAACTGCATATATTAAAACAGATACATCCTTATCTTCCTTGTTGTAAGGTTACTTAAAACAGGATTGCCTTATTTTTGTTAGAAAAGTAGAAAATGGCCACCAAGTGGTAGCAAAAAAAATTGGTTTCTCCTGTATCTCCAGTGACATCTAGAATTCATGGATTTGGGGTTTTGGTAATACAGACATGATAACCCTAGCTAGGGTGTGTGTGTGTGTGTGGAGGGGTGGTACTTTATTATAAATTTTGAAACATTTAAAGCAGGGATAAAAATTTGCCTCTTTTATTGTTTCTAACATTTGTTCCCTGTACCATAAAGAGTAAAGCTGCCAAGTTGGCACTGTAGCTATCTGCCTTCTGTTTATTTTTGGTTGAAAGTCTTGATGCACCATTTTTGACTCTTATTTTTTCTATTGTGCAGTTTAAGTCAAAAGTGGACGAACAGCCTTAACACTAGATAATGAATCATAGAATCTGAATCCTGATCATAACTTGACACTTCCCCTCTTGTTAATAAGAACTTCATTAATATTTTATTAGTAATGATTGTGCCCCTGCATGAACTTGTTTACAACTATGTAGCCATATACGCTGCTAACTTTACTTCTGAGTACAGTTTGGAAGGGAGCAAAATATACAAAAAAATCTAAATCGCAGCATTCTTACAGCATTTATTAGAACATGGTCACTGCGGGTTTGCAGAGTGGATCTCAACTTTTATAGACTTGAACCCTACCATTTCTTGCCAGGACAGCCGTGCAACTAAGATGTTATTTCCTATTGTGCACTTCTCCGCAGAAAACTTGTGAACGGATCATTTGCCTGAGAATGAAAGGCAGCTCTGAGGTGATGAAAGCAGCAGCCCGATACTTTTTTCACTGGGCAGCTGATTCAGATAGCCCCTGGGCGTGCCAGGATGCAGGAAGGCCCCCGCGGACAGACTGGACTCTTCAGTTACGTCCTGGTTGTTATTAGATCGCCTTACCCAACCAGGCGGTCTCCAACGTTGGCCGGGAACTGTTGTCCGCGACACTTTTGTAGCAAACTGGATTTCCTACAGTAAGATTGACATACTAGTTTAAAGCATCGGACTAGATACCGGGAGACAGCGAATTCTGCTTCCGTCTGAGGCACGAAGCGAGCTGGGTGACCTCGGGCCAGTTCCCCCCCCTCCCCCCAGTTCTAGCAAGCAACCAAGAGCAAGCCACTCCGAAACCTTGCCAAGAAAACTGCAGGGACTTGTCCAGCAATCGGCCGGAGTCAGGAAAAAAACGAACAACAACGACAAATCTGCCGTAGGCCCCCTCCTTGTCCTTTACCATGGCGGGAAAGGAACAAACCAGGCGCGACTACCGAGCCAGCTGAGCTGAACAGACCGCACTCGGCTACCGCCGTAGATGACGCAGGCACGAATTGTGGTGTGTTTTTTTTCCCGGGGAGGGGGCCCTCTCCGTAAGTTCCCGCGTCATCTCTGCTTCTCGCGAGAGGTTGAGGGGGAGGAGACTGAAGATTCTACTGCCTTCAGCCACCTCTCCGTCCTCCTCGCGTCGCTGGTAAAGCTCGTGCTCCGTGGACGTTCCTTTCCTGCCTTAAAAGTCGGTGAGGCTCGAGAAGGGGTGAGGAGGCGGGCGTGGGGCGCTTCGGAACGCGCCTGGGTTGTAACGGCCGCGCCGGTCGGCCCTCTTTCCCCCCCCCCCTCCACGTCCTCTGGCGCGGCCTGGCATGACCTGTCGGGTAACAAAGCGGCGGCCTCTGTTGGTTGGTGACGCCGCCGCCGCCGTCGCGGGAGAGATAGAGACCCGTGGCGGCGGCGGCGGCGGCGGCGGCCGGGAGGAACACGCGGGACTCTAAGCTAGCCGTGGCGGCGCTTGTAAGAGACCTCCCCCTTCCCTCGGCCATCGCTTCCACCTCCAGCAGCAGCGGCCGCCTCCGCCCGGAGGGCTCGGTGGGTAGAAGGAAGGGAAGGAAGGAAAAGAACGAGGGGGCGCTATGGAAGAGGAGAGGAGGAGGGAGAAGGGGAAAAGGTGTTTTCCCCTTCTACGCTAGGCAGCAGCTACATTAGGTAGAAAAGGAAAAGAAGAAGCGCCGCACGGTGTGCCCGTGCTGCTCTTTTGTGGTGCGGGCTAAAAACGTAGCGAGGAGGAAGATTGCCAGGGCTCCCGAGGCTCCCTGGGCGGACCTGGAGGAGGAGCCTGGTAGTAACTTGATCAGCGAAGGCGAGAAATATAAATATTTGCGCTCTGTTCACGCGATTATTACCCGCCTTTTCTTCCCCGGGTGTATATATGAGAGGTGGCCCTCTAAATAGATTACTCTTTTTTTTTAAGTGGTCGAACTGTATATGATTACATTTTTTTCTTTAATAATAGACTTTAAAAAAGACAGGGAAAGACGAATACTGCGTTTAATATTTTCCCCAAAGAGTTGAGAATGGGCCTTGTAAGAAATGGCTTTGTTTCCCAAACTCTTTACTGGATGTTCAGTAAACTGGGATGAAGTATTAAAATGCACACACACACACACAGCACATTTTATACCCGTATATTGGGGGGGGGGAATGGGAATGTTTTTATCCATTTTTAAAGTAGAAGGGGTGATCATGCTGGTTTTGCTCCGTTCTATCATTTTGCTTTCTCAAGATTACAATGATGTAGCATCATTCCAATTTCAAGGAGAAATACAATGCCTATTATAGGCCAAGAGGAAGGCATGGGAGAAATGTTGAAATTCATCCTATGGAACCAACATTGCCACGAATAATGGAAATGGGGCAGATAATTTCACTACCCTTTTTTTTTTTTTTTTTTTTTTTTTTTGCTTTCCTTTTCCCATCATTGTTGAGGAATCCTAATTTGTGATTTTAAGTCCACCCTAAGTTGTGGAGCTCTTTTGTTTCTTTTTGTATTTTTGGCTGCATGTGGTTATTATCTCCTCTCCCATATTAATGTTGAACATTTAGCATATAGCTGTGTGTGTACAATGTAAGTTGAATTGAGGCTCCCTTTTTTACTTGTAGATGATCATAGGAGATATACTTTTTACAGGATATTCTGTGTTGCAGTCTTTCCATTCCTAATTAGCTACTTTTTATATAGATTGTTTTTGCAGAATTTGTATTCAGGATTATAGACATAATACACATGACGGGCACTAGTTTCTGAAAGACTGTTGTAGGTTATTAATAACTGCCTTACTATTACTGGTTTTAGTTAAATACTGACATCCAGCTTGTCCTTATTTTATATTGATACAGAGCACTGGTAAAATCACATAAAGACAGAGCCTTTCTTTTTAAAGTAAAACTCATCCCTGAAATAATTTTGAGGCTTTAGTAAAGATAATTGTTCTGGCTTCAATTTGTAAAATTTGTTAAATTATTGGTTCATGTGTTACTGAATTTGAATTTCTAGCATGATTTCAGTTTTGATTTTGAGAGTTGCTCCAATTATGTCACAGCTTGGAAATTGGGACAGCTGTAGGTAGAAGTAATCTGAAAAGAGAGAAGGGAGTTTCATGTAAAGTATATTCGTGATGGATAAAGTTTGATTCATCCATCAGGTTGAGTCACCAATGATTTTTTTGACTGTAGTGGGTGTGAACAGTGTTACCTGTTAAGAAAAGCTTGCATTATAGTATTAATTGGCTTAACAATTTATTCATTGCCCATCAGCCTTAAACAGCAATTTACATATTGATAGAAATTCGTTATTCCCTGCTTTCAGCTTTATAATCTAAAAATATCTTATACAGAAGGAAAATTTGATTTACTGACAAAATGGCAGCAAGGGAACTTATTTCAAAATTGCTATATTTAATCAGGGAGGTACAGATAATCCCATAATCCACTGAGCAAATGCTCCTACTGGTCTTCACAAGAAAAATAGCAACATTTTCCTGTTGCAATTACACAAGTCATAACATTTGTGTGCTGGTATCACTAGGTAGGTTTTCTGTCCTCATAGTGATGATAGAGCCCCCTTCACTAGTACAGCAACAGTGACAGAAGGCAACAATGCCTTGATTCTTTTTGTTCCTATTCCTACTTATAACATTTATAATAATAGAATTAATTAGAACAGATTGAACTAGAACAGTTTATAATAGAGAAGTGAATTTTAAAACATCTTCCTAGGTGATGACTCAGTGAAGGAGACTTGAGGAAGTTGTCTTAAGACAGGGCAGTTAAAAAGCATACTTAGAATATTCTGTCAATAAAGCCTTAATATCCTTAATATAACAATAGAAAAGATACAGCTGTTCTGAACTGTGCTACAAGTAAGCCTTCCAAGATAGGAGGCAAGCTGGCTTTCAAGTTATATTTACAGACTCTTCATAATCAGAAGTCTACCAATGCAAAGAATGACTTTTAATTCTTGCTGTGAACATTGCAGGTCTCCAGAAAAGTAACACATTATAAAAAAAAAAGTTGCCTTTCCCCCCTCAGTTGTAGTAGAAATGTGATCTTCCTAATGTTCTCTTTAAATGCAATAGGAATTATTAACTTGAGATAAAATTACAGATGATTGTTCTTACTTGTTATGCAATAATAAACCTGCCACCTTAGTAACTATGTATTATGTAAATCAGTAGTTTGCAGTTAACAAACTTGATCTGATTAATATTCCAGTTGTAAATATAAACATGTGGTTTAGGACTCATTTTTAATGGCATTGTAATCATGATAATTTTGGGAACAGGGAAAACCTATGTATTCTGATGTGTTTAGGTAGTAAATGTCTTGATCAAAATCTTTCTAAATCCTTAAGGATTATTTTCTTAATCAAAATATCTTCAATTTGTTGCTTATCACAGGGTATCTTTTATGAATAATCAAAAGCAGCAAAAGCCAACGCTATCAGGCCAGCGTTTTAAAACTAGGAAAAGAGGTAAGCATACTCATATGCCTGTTTAATCAGTTTTTATCAATTACAAATTACCATATCACTGTAAAGATTGATTTGTTATATGTAGTTTTGATGGTTTTATTAGTGAATCTTTTTGAATGTTTGTCCATTTATCTTTCCATTCTGTTAGACCTATTGAAAACATATTTATGTAGGATCAACATCTGTTTTTTTCTGTATTACTAATGATTGAAATAATTATCAATATATTCCATCTAAAATCTTAAAAGTCATGAATTGGGTCCTGCTTCCTATTCCTAGTCACTGATATTTAATCAGTCTTCAGTCTGACAATTGTATTTCATGTATTAAATTCACACAAGACTGTTGAGTTAATGGAATCAATATTTGAGGAAATGTGCATTTTCATTTCTTCAAAAAAGTTGATTGCTAATAAATAGAATGATTGGGCAATCTGAGGAAAGGTTTAACCAGGGCCATACTGTATTTGTTTCATTTTATGCTGCAGGTACAGATAGTCCTTGATTTATGACCACAATGGAGCCCCAAATTTCTGTTGCTATGCAAGGCAGTTAAATGAGTTGCACCCCATTTTACAACCTTTTTTGCCACAGATACATGAATCACCCCAGTTGTTAAGTGAATCATGCAGTTGTTAAGCAAATCTGGCTTCCTCCATGGACTTTGCTTGTTGGAAGCTGGTTGGGAAGGTCACAGATGGTGATCATATGAGCCTGGGACAGTGCAACTATCATAAATACATGCCAGTTGCCAAGTGCCTGAATTTTGACCACGGGGATGCTGCAACAGTCCTAAGTGTGTAAACTGATCATGTCACTTTTTTCAGCACTTTTCAGACTTCGAATGCTTACTAAACGAATGCCTGTAAGTCGAAGGCTAACTATAGTAATAAAGCATATAATACTTAATTTTATTAATTTTATCATATATGATAAGAGAGAAAGAGAGAGAGCTTGGGCTCTGGAACAAGTGAACAACCCTGATTTTGATCATAGTTAAAAGAAATATGGACCTGAGTGAAAGAGACTCGTGAATTGAATTTGTGAGCCCATATTGAATTAGGGAAGCTATCTCTTGTCTACCGAAAATTGTGTTGATTTCTGACACATGGTGAATTAACACAATTTGCACAGTGTTTTTGAGTTTGTTTAAACTCAAAGATGGTTGCTTTGGATTTACAGCACAGGTCTACCGCTCATTGAAGTCAGGATGTTGTGGCTTCCCTGGGAACCTTTCCTTTTGGCTTATCTGATTCTCAGCATGAAATGAATAATTCCAATTACCTTGATTTTCTTTTCAAATACATTTACAGTATTCTTTTTTTATTGCAGATGAAAAAGAGAGGTTTGACCCCACTCAGTTTCAGGACTGCATTATTCAAGGTTTAAATGAAACTGGCAGTGATTTGGAAGCAGTAGCAAAATTCCTTGATGCTTCTGGAGCAAAACTTGATTATCGCCGCTATGCAGAGACACTCTTTGACATTCTGGTGGCCGGTGGAATGCTGGGCAAGTATCTTTATTTTGATCAGAATTTTTATT